GTTCACGCCGCTTTTCTGGAGCAATTTTGTATTCAAAATTTGAAGACAAAATTTTCCTACATTTATAGAATCAAGGATCAAATTCATGCATGATAAAACAGTGAATAATGTTGCACTTGTAGTCGAATACTTTCTAATATTTTTAGAACGCGCCTGTTGTGCACAAAAAAGTTGTCAATGGAGTTCCAATTTTAGAAACATGAGAAAACTTCCCTCCGGACGGTTTATCTCCACCACCTCCTCCCACCTGACATCAGCAAAAGAACCTCAGCTAAGAACAGGAAGTGGATGTGAGCCGACATCTCTAATAGGAAGCAAGTTTACAGTGTTTAAAAATAAAAAATAAAAAAACAGGCTGAGCTGAGTGCTCCAGTCATTCTTAGAGAACAAAATAAAATCATTAAAACGGTCTCTCTACATTTCCCAAACAAAGCGATGCATTCTCCTTTCCTTTTGCATCGTACAGTATGTGCCTGGTATTTCTTTTTTCTCCCGTCGGGTTGCAGGAATAGCAGTCAAACTCAGAAGTCAAATAGTGGGGAAAGCCCTTTAAGAAAACACAATCTAACCTCCTGAAAAAACAATGTGGCTGAATTCTCAGACATCAGAGACGTAACAACAAATCAAAAATTGTAATCAAACTGGTTTCCTCTCCGCAGGCAGGGGGTTCAGAGGTTAAAGACTAAATGTTCCTCCGATCCAGTAGAGGAACACAGGAATCATAAAATGAAAGGTCTCTTATTGCTTTAGGAATTGAGACAAAGGAGAGTATAATCAAACAGAAACATTAAGAGGCTACTAGACAAAGAACCACACAAAGTTTCAACAGTGACACTGAACTCAAACGACAACATTCTTTAAACTAGTTAAACTAAGCACTTAATTTACAACCCGAACTCATTCTGCCATTGATCCATCTGGACATCCGACTAAAAGAAGACTTTCTATTTTATTTATTTATTCATCATGTGCCTGGATATCTTTGGCTTTCAGACTGTTAGTGAGACTTACTAAGTCTTTTTATTTTCAACATTTTCTGTCAGGCGTTTGAAGATTTATCATTCACTTGAGTTGTTGGAATAATTTAAGTTTTCCTAAAAAAAATACTTCTATGGTTCTTTGCCTGAGCTCTTAATAACAACATCAGTCATAACAATGCAAATACTAACGCACATCATCTATTAGTGGTCATGACCTGCATTTTTAGTCTTCTAGAGGCCACTGTTGAAATGCTTTTTTGAATTTGAGGAGTGACTTTCCAGCTCTGAGAGTGTCAAAGCATCGGACTGGATTTTACTCTTAAATAAATCTAAAGAACAAAGAGATATCGCTTGTGAACTGATAACAGTCGAAGCCCATTTTCCATCGCTCAGGATTCACCCGTCTTTAAAAAGTAACCTGAGACAACAAAAACAAAAAATCTAATAAAAACTCTGCATCCAGATCAGCAATTAGGCTTTAATGTACCTTCATCAGTCCCAAACCCCAGCTAGGGATTAGGCTGTGGATGAAAACAAGCAGCAAAACTGATCTGATGACAGCATTTAGGTTTTTACTTCACTTTGACTGGCCACACACTCAAGTAACATCCAATCAGGAGAGCTGCATGTAGCTGAAGAGCAGCGGGACCAGGAAGATCACGTTGAAGCCCACTGTCCCGTAGACGATGTAGCGGTAAGGCAGCTCCACCTCCATGTGCTGCCGGGCCTTCCTCAGGTCATCAGTGGGCACTCTGAACGCTCTGCACACCAGTGGGATGGTGATGGCCTTCATCAGCGCCCGCGTGGCCAACAGCACCAGCACTCCCACAACGAGCCGCAACATTACAACAGCCACCAGGCTGGGGCTAAGTGCGGGCATGCTGAGGGGAAGCTGGTCTGGTGTCAAGTCGGGCATCAGGCCCAGGTGGTAGTTGACATGGGAAGCCAAGGCAATGCCGGCACCAGTGCCCAGGATCTGAGCGGTGTCACCACGAGAGGTGCTCCAGGTGTCCAGGGTGAAGGAGAAGAGGCCCAGACCCGCGTGGAGGGAGATGATGATGATTGGAGCGTAGCGGCAGGTCAAATTGAAGCCATCGATCAGGTCCAGTATCGGCAGGAAGAAACACAGGATGAGGATGCTGTACAGAAACCCAGCGATGACGTCCTGAAGGAAATACAAAGACAGAAACTGTAAACAAAACAGCACAGCTGAGACTGTCATTGACATGTGTTTCACATGTGTGCAGATGAAAGCAACTATGTTGTGAATTTGGACTGAAACAAAGTGTGTGATGTCAGAGGGTGGGGAAGTCAGGAAGGGGACTGTAAATATCAACCATGTTCTAGTATCCTTGGTAGGTTCTTCTTCAACAAACACCTAGGAGAATACAAGCTCAATTCCAATAAAGTTGGGACAGAAATGATAGAAATGTTTTCTCTCAGCCAAAGTTCATTTAAAACAGACTGAGGAAAAGTGGAAAACTGGTCTGCGGTCGATGACAAAAGAAGAGAAAGCCCGTGTGCTTTGTTATTAGCGCTCAGTTCCAAAGCCTTGTCTGATTGTATGGGCCTGTTCAGCGAACCAGTGTGACCTGACTGCAAAACAAATTTCCCTCTTGGCTAGAAAACATGATTTATACTGATCATGCATTCTGTGAATAAATGCTGAAACAACACAAGCAGCAGATTAAAAATTTAAACCTGCACAAGCTGATTCAGCAGCAAAACCCCATTACCAGATAAGGAGTGCTATTATTAGGATATTTATTGGAGCATTTCCTTCAGATGGGAACAGGAAGTGGATCAGCATTGACAGGAAACAGGAAAACGGGAAGATCTACATGCTGACGAACTCTGGACTCAAACACAAAGGTCACAGCTGTTTATTTACTGATCTCTGGAGTAAACTGACAGTTGGCTTCTTGCCTCCTCTAAACCTTTCAAATCTCTGACTTCACCCCAGCTCCTGCTCAACGTCTCCAAGCTGTTTCTGAAATAAGTGACTCCTTGTATCTGGATGGCATTCTGTGATCAGTCGACTACCAATCTAAGAATCCTTACTACCTGACATGGTTCCCACATCACACTGACAGAATCAAAACTCTGACTGACTTGACAGACATTCATCTGCAACACTGTACCCATATTAAATTAATTCACAATTAAACCTTATTTCTAGATAACGTGTTGTTCCACCAACAAACTTTACAAAAATGACATGAAATACAAATTTTACCTAAGCCGAATCTGTTCCCACGCCTCTGAGACACTGAAGCCTTATTCTTGCATGTTCTTATGTCTCTCTTTTGTTGCTTTTCTAACATGTATCTGGCTGTGTGTGTATGCTGATATAATGCTCAGTTAGCACCTGTTTGAATGTTGGGGAGGAAAAGTAACATTTCCTGAAGCACCACAGGACAGACGGCAACTTAAGCAGCTCTTCAAGTTGAATGTTGGCCTGTGTGTGCGGCTACACTTTGGTTATGGGTTGGGGGAAAAACAACATTTGTAATTTTCTGTGCATTTTCTGGAGTTGATTTTGACGCACTAAACTAGAACTGATAATATGCGACAGTAAAACGACATTTTTTTTGGGTCGAGATTAATTATATAACCGATGTGGAAGGATCGCGGTGCAATCTTTGAACGTGGCTTTAAATGGTGATCCTGCTTTACACAGTAGGAGAGGTCTTTCAATCAGAGCCTGATCACAGTTGGCGCTCGTAGGGAAAAAAATTAAGCAAAGGCTTGCGTGCGATGAATGGAATTCCGACAAAGAAAAAAAACCTGGTTACACTGTGGCAGCAGAAGCCTCTTTTGTTTGATTCATCCTCCAGCTGCTACGGGTGTAGCAAAAGAAGTAACAGTAGAGGAACTAAAGCTTATGTTTCAGTTCGTGTTATCATCTTGCAGGATGCATGGCAAACTTGACACAGTACCCAAGTTTATTCAATTATGCACACTTATGGCACGTAATGAATAATCCTAATCAGGTCACACTGGTTTGCAGAGTGTATATTGAGCACTGCCATCAGTGGTACTTATTTTTCTCCTTTATTGTATGTTTTACATTAGCATACTGTGGCTTACACAGTATTATTATGCTATTCACGAGGTCTAGTAGTAATCACGTATCTTAAATATTACAAGAATGAAAAATGGGAATCCCTCAAGTCCATTTCTGCTGACAGGCTCAGATTTCCTGGCCATTCACGCACATGCCTCCAGCGAAGAGACTCCTTTGGGTACGTTGCTATAACGTGAGTGCACACACTGTAAATTAACACTTGATCATTCCTCATCTTGCTAAGCTGGGTGTGTACACTATTTACTTTTGTGATTAGTGTCTGCTGTCCCTGGAAGGAGAAATCAATGATAGCCACTGTAACTTTACACCAGTTTCCATCCACCAGCCAGACACTGGAACATTGCAGCCGTCTCTGGCACGGTCAGCCCACTCGAATGGCCGCACTGGAAGGAAACTGAGGTCCTGTTAGAGTTTAAGTATCTATTTGGCTGCTTAAGTACATGTTGTGGTACGTGTAAGCCCTGAGCTAACAGTCAGTTAGTAGCCCGTGCTGAGCCACGAGCGCCAGAGCCGCAGAGCTGGCGTCAGATGGATTGTAGCTCAGCAACAACTTGTGTCCCAGCAGTTCCACTTTTGACAGATGGTTCACTATAAGGACACATTTCCCTGTGTGACCATATCAAAATGAGTCAACAGTGAGATAACCAAATTACCTCTGAGAAGGTAACTAGTGCCAGTGCCATCCTGTATCAGCCTTCTCTCTTACTAGCACACACAGTGAGAGGCTGGAAGCTTTCAGCCATCTGTAATTTTCTCCTCTACTGACACCAATGTGCTGCCTGAACTAAAATTGTCCAAAAAGAGGGTGTGCCCTTAATGAACAACACACTGCATGTCATTCAGTAGATGCCTTAATCTTTACAACAAAATAAAAGAGCATTAAATTGTCAGAATGGGTGGCCTAAATGTTGAGAGAACCATTAAGAACTCTCTCTGTAAAACACAACCACATGTGCCTACTGCCTGTTCACTAAATTACTGCAAATGATGCACAAGTTCAATTCACGCATCAGTAACACGTACATGATGTAAATTAACAGCTGCAGCATTATTTCTTAATCAGTGCAACTAAAGAGAATTCCCAATAGTACGCATTACTTTCTTGTTTCATTATTAGGCTTTAAAAAATATCACAAAGTTAGTCACTGATATTGTGATTTTCTTTTTTGAATTTTAAATTACTCAATGCCGGTTTAGCTACACGTCTTTGCTCTCTCTCTGCCCACTTTCCTGTCCATCTTCACTGCATCTGTCCACTAAAGGCAAAACAAAATAATCATTTAAATTTTGAGAGAAGACACAGGGAAGCAGCTGGAGGGAAATAACAGGATGTGGGCACATACACAGTTGATCGGTATGTTTCTAAGTTTACTAAAAATAACGTTTCATAAAAATAAAAAAGACTACTGGGCCTACTAACATATTAAAAGCCTCAAAATCCTATAAATAATGTGATTTGTAAGATAGCAGTAGTATAATAGTAAACAAATTGTTGCATTTAAATATCAAAACATTACAGGGAGCTAGAAATGGCATACAGTTCTCATGAACTAGTAAACAGTTTGCAGAACACACCATGATTATCAGGGGCAGAACAGCTTTTTGTCTGCAAGCTCTTCCTGTTCAACAAAGGAGGGGGGAAGCAGTTTGATTGGGCGTGATGATTTCCAGATCTCTTTAAGTGCCCTGCAGGCCTGGCACAGCAGACCGATAATAGCTCACCAAGTATTCAAGCTCCAGTCCCTGATTCCCAACAGTGATGTGGAGCCTTCAGCCGTCGGGCTAAGTCACATGGAGGAAATGAGCTCTGTGCCTGTGCACCAGCAGCTCGAGCATTCTCAAGAAGGTTCACGTCTTTTCTCTTGACCTGAATGTTGTGTTTCTGAGGTCACTGTTTTTCAGGCGAGTCACACCTTAAAGTTCACACCCATTTTTTTCCTGTAATCCAGTCAAATCTGAATAGACAGACATGACGCACACGTGTTCAGAGTCACACCAGTTTTCAATTTTCAGGGGTATCTGTACTACTGAGAAGAAACCAACTTAGAAAAATGTAGAAAGATGCTCTTCAGAATTTTATAAGCTGGCTAAATGAGACTGTCTCTACAGCTAAACAAGAGCTTATTAAATAACTCCCACTTTACTAAAATAGAGGGGCTTATACTGTAGCACAAGTGACGCCATAAATGTTTCTTGTTTATATTCCTCAAAGCATTATGGTTGTTAATTGTTCAAATAAAGACAAATCATGTTCTTACATACAGACCAAAACTTTATTTTTTATTGAATATATTTTTATTGAAGGCTAAAAGAGTCTTAAAGAATCTTTGTTATCATGGAATAAAAAGAAAACCAAATAAAAAGACTGAAAAAAAATTACTGGTATCATATTTGTCCAATTCCTGTTTTCAAACAACAGTATAAGGCTTGAAATTCAAAACTGCTTCAACCCTATGTAATAAAACCTCCTGTACAAAATGATGTCACCTCTAAGCTCAATGGTTTTTGAGCTCTAGGACTTTGGTGTGATAATCAAGGGATTTTTTTTTAACTGTGACAAAATCACTACACACACAAGTTAAACATAAATATGGCCAAGTCAAACATTATCACTGACTCAGAGAGAAAGTTACAAGTGACAGGGTCTTTATGTGTTCTCTCAGGCTGTGCACAGCCTGCTGCGCTCTCATTTGCTGAACGGAGCAGAAGGAGAGAGATCTGCGAGTGGAGTGGGACAGCAGGACCCCCATTTGCAAGGCAGTGCTGTCCATAAATATTTCAGGAGGCAATTCTTAGAAAAATCAAATTAAATCACAAAATGTAGCGGTCTGCATGCTGGAAATGAGGTGAACTGAAGCGTAATCATCCATAAGGATGTGGTTCTATATTAAAATAAGAATACCCAAACCCCAGAACTTCAAATCAATACAACAAAAGCATGACCTACTGAGCAATCAAATATTCTTACTTTTCAACTTCTCAAAATCTGAAATCCATACCCAATACTCCAAAAGTACTGTTGATATAAAAAAACAAAATCAATGTGACTACTACACCACACATGGCTTTATTTCAAGCTTTGTGTGAAATGGTGAAAAGCATGTGCACACCTTTCACAGATTATATAATAATGTCATTATAAGTTGTACTGGCTGACCTGGCTAAATGTCACACAGTACAAGTATGACATAGTTCAACTGAGGAGTTAAAATACAGATGGTGTGTCTTTATGATGTCATGGACCGCTGTACGAAGACATGGTTTCTTAAGGCTTACTTAAGGGGGAATTGGTTATTTTAAGGGGCAATTAAGATCTTATAGATAAACTGACATCATTGCTTAAAGTCAACCCAGGCCTGGTGTGTACTGCAACAGTTGCTATGGTTACAGACTTTTTTTTCCCTTTTTAACATATCCATGGTGAGACAGTGAGGAGAGCCAGCAGGAGTTTCTGGCTTGCTCACAAATACTTCTTAATCAAGAACAGTAAGCGGTCACGCTGCAAGAACGATGAGGACTTTAATATGAGAGACAGACAAATACATGCCATTTAAAGTATTTCACATAGTTTTCATACAAAACAATGTTAAAGCATCAAGGCCCGAGCGCCTGACTGCATAATTAGTGAATGTGCCACAGCTTGTGCTGATCAGCCCTCCCTGAAGTAGTCTGTGCCACCTCTTTTGCTGCAGCTGAGCAAAACCCACACCCCACTAACCCAGCATTTACTGTTATTACTTGTTGATAAGCTGACTAAGTCTTATTGATCTCACAAGCAAAATATATATTACTGTTTAAAGGTGCACTTTAATGTGAAGGAGTCTAGCTTTAATTTATGAGCTATTTTTACCCATTTATTCTTAATATAGGGCCACTGGTCCTTTATTTATGTAGGCAAAATGACAAATTTGTCTCACAGGGCAGAGAGAAATTTAGTACGTGCATATCAATGTAATACAGGAAAACAGCAGATTCTTTTGCTTTGGAAATCACAAAAACTCCTCTGTTTAACAGTTTCATGTGATCTTTTGAGAACTCATTAAGTAACGTGGGACCCATGAGGGAGTGTTTTTCCTTGTCTTTATTTAAATGAATGCTCACTATTTTGACAAATCACATATAAACGTTGACTCAGTCCTGGATGTTTTTCTTTTAATTTTTTTTTTTTAATGACTTTTAATGACTTTTTTTCTTGAAAAACTGTAATAAGCTCCTTGGGGCATAACTGCTGCTCCTCAAGCAGCTGTGATTTTGAAGGCTGATTGTTGTTGCTCTGCTTAAATGTCAGGATCAATCGTCTCAGCACGCTCATTTCGACTGAACTGTAATCTGACTGACTGCTAAATTAATCATATTAAACACCTTTCTAGGTCAGCTCTTATCTATTTGTGGAGGAAACTGGACCTTTTTGTTTGACATGCAGCAGAGATATGAAACCATGTGAGCAGGCAGGTGTGCATGTGGTTTCTGAGGTGCAGGTTTTCACAGCGATACCACCTGTGGGCACCCACAGAAAGCTCTTAAAGGTCTCTGATGTGGAATTACTTTCTGAGTTTGTTTGGGAAGATGGTCAGCGTGCTGTAATGTCTGCTGGTCTCACACCACCATCCATCACTGACACAGTCATGACCACGGAGAATGTTCCCTCTGCAACAGACAACCCAACCCCACAAGTGCACCAAGACTGACGTCGTTTACCAGTGAGATTTACCCCCGTACAGACATCTGACCAAAACATCTGTGGTGTGGATTTTTTCACCACAGAAGTATTGATGTGTTTCTTAAAAATAAATCCATGAAAACATCTGGCATTCAAGCCGAGTCTGACTTCTTAAGCCAGGGTTCATGATTATCTAATATTTATGTATGAACTGCAAAAGGAACTTGATTCAGACTGACTCAGGATTGAATTCTATACCAGTCAGCACATACTGCTGGAGCTACAAGTAAGTATCTCCAGCTGGTTGATTTCATCCCCCAACCCCCCCACATCTCTTGCAACCTATAGGACTTTGAGAAAACTTCTAATGCTGTAGGGAACCTGAGGTATACACACCTCTGTGGTGATAGATTTGTTATGACTGTACTCCGTTAACGTGAGAGCAGATAAAAGAAGCAGGGGCAAGTTTTTGCAGGCAAAAACATCAAGTGTTCCACTACTAATTCTCGCTGATGGTATATACAGGCCTAAGCATGCTCATGACAGAATCACTGGTCCAGGTTAGCTGAAAGGCATGGTTAGTACAGGTAGGCTCTAAACCAGGGAGTGGGTAAGGGACCACATGAAAAACTGGGACTGTTGATAAGCTGAACTTAAATCTGCACAATATTAAGTTTGTCTGGTGTTGAACTTGGCTCCTTTGCCATCTTTGTTGCCTGACTCTTGACCTTTGAATCCATCTACTCCACCAGTTTGCTGATTCATGTGGCACCTTGACAGAATTGAGCAGACAGTTAGTCATGAGTGGGACTAACACTGTTGTCAAATTGTGTGCCAGTGCCAAGGGGCAGTAATAACAAACAGAAAATGAGAGAATGAGAAGTGAAATAATAACAGCAATGGCGACAACATCTACTGGCCTGCATTTTTAATATTGCGGTGTGTTTCACTTCCTCACTGTATTTGGTTAGTTTGGAAGCAGTGTCAGACTGAGGAGTTGACAACTATGTCTGATATGAAACAACCATTATTGTTCATTTGATGACTTATTGTGAACATCACAGTTTGGTATATGTGAGGAGATGCACTTCCATAACTATGAACTCCACAAACAGCACAGAACTGCAGTGGTTCACCTACCTTCTTGTTGTTACCTTTATCTGCCTTCTCAACATTTTAACACAGGAAAGCTACTGTTTGGACTAAAGTTCAGAATACACCTCCTGCTTAACATCAACAGCTCGAGAGGTTTCCTGTTCCTGAGCCTAGCTGTTGATCACAGTATAAAACAAAGACATTTTCAAGTTCCCATCCACTCAAAATCATGTTTCCATTCTTGTTCCTTCCCTTGCAGTTGGACTGATGTATGTGCAGTGAACTTGTTCTCCTCTTTTCTAAGCTCATCTTAGATCTGAGGTTAACACAGGAACAAAAAAGCAGGATTTTGAAATGTCACTAATCCATCCTCCAAGTGTGACGTTTAAATATTTATTAGTCCCAAAAGTTTTAAAAAGAGAAAGAAAACAGCATACCTTTTTGTGAAAGTGCACAGAGACTTGAACAACCACTATTACACAATGACATAACTAAAAGTGAACTAGAACAGACAACTTGTTAAATGGTAACTTATTAAAAAAATAAAACAATTACTTATCTTTCTTGTCTTAAAAACATATTCTTCTTTGTTTTTATTGCCACATGGGAGCGCGTCATACACTACTATCCCAAAGGAGCAATAACACAGTCAATTATTTGCCTGCCGTTGCTGAATTGCTGAACCGGTAAATTGTCTGTGGTGCTGTGAGACTAGTGATCACTGTACAAACATATAAAATATAAAAAATTAAATTCATCCAAAGCCAAAAACTACAACAGCCTTTAAAAGTGTTGAAATACATTTTCTTTCTCAATAAAGATCCTCTGGTAAATGACGCTAGCATATCACAACTATGGACAGCTGTCTGAGAGAGGGTTGAACCTTTGAAGAAAGGTCAGATTGTTGGTAGTAACAGTTAAAAGGCCTACCCTTCACGGGTTCTTATATTAAAAACGAATTGACACCAAACTACTTTAGCTTGGTAAACAGCACCAAAAACGTAAGACAGACAGTGCTGGAGTTCTTACTCTAAAAGGTAAAGTACTTCTCATTACTTCTTCAAAAAATAATGTATTACTTTACTTATTTACTCCTCTTAGTTACTTACTTACTCCTTCATTATACTCCTCATAGCCATACATTTGCATTACTCTGCAACATGCCCTGAGATGACGACTTCTCACAGGTAACAGTTAACCTTAACTACGTGCCCACACACTGGTACAAATCACTACTGTTGCTGTTTGTCCAACAGACCTGCTATGATGTTTAAAAACACAAGATGATATTAAACATGTCCTTCGTTTGGCAAGACTGCAAGTCTGTATTTGTGTGTGTGCAAGAGATCGATCACACTCACCAGCACCGAATGCATTCCCATGTAGATTCGGCTGGAACAAACCAGCAGACACCAGCAGAGAGCCAAGATGAATCCCAGTGGGGATGGGTACTGTAGAGGTGAAAGGAAAAAAGTTTAAAGACATCTAAAAAGCCTAAACTGAATTTATGATGGTGAAACACAGAAGCAAATAAATCTTCACATATACATACATATACATGTTTAATATTTTTACTTTACAATAACAACTAATTATGCATGACACAATGTTTAAGGCATGTAGTGCAAAATACAAATAAAAAAGTGTATTCTGAACTGCACTGCGTGAGCATGCTTTGCTTTACATCAAAAAGTGCACTACTGTATCTGTCAGTGAGTCACTGTATCAAAGCTAACCTATCAAATTTGTGTTTATTGTTCTGTATTTGCATGTCAACAAAAGAACTCATGTCGTGGGAGTAGAATTTCATCCAGAACTTGTTCAGTTTGCAGCTTATAATGAGCCTTAAAATGTTTCTGTGATGTATTGCATATGATTATCTGCTAATGTGTACCAGACTCAAATGTCCTCATAAATGTTTCAGCAATTTTGCCACTTCCTTATCAGATGCTCCTGGCCTGCAGCATTGAGAGGAGGGAGCCAAGGCGTGTTTACTTGTATAACACCTTTGAACAACACAAAATAACAGCCTTATGTACGCCATAAAATATAAAAGAAACACATAGAAATTTGAATACAGATGAATAGGATTTGAAAAAAGGAAAAGAAAAAAAATACCTAATGTCAACTACCAACTAGCTAAAGTATCTATCGGACATTTAAAAAAATATATAGATACAGATATAGATAAATATAGATATAGATATATATAAAAGTATAAAAATATAGATATATATTTATGTTTAATCAATTTGAATGTCAACGAAGTTTATGGTACAATCTTGGTTGCCTACCATAAAGATGTAATTATGTCCAAAGTCAAAGGGCTGTTTTCTGTTGTTCCACCTGAATCAGCATTGAGGTATCGCTTGCTAATTTTAATTTCCGGAAGTTATGTTTGTAGGTGCAGTTCTATGTACATCACTAAATTTCTATTAATTTACTAATAAATACCAATTCAGTACATTTATATTCCAGTATGTACTTATTTGTAATACAAAGTTAGGAAAGCACTGTTTAAGTTGGGCCTTATGGTACCTTGCAGAGAAAAGAATGATTGCAAGTCTTTCCTCGCAGTGAGGCATCCAGCTTTTTCATTTGATGCTGGTTTTGGGTCAGTATTTGGTATCAGAAGTTACCCGAAGCCTAACTGGATCAGAGCATCCACAGATTCAGCATGCAGAAAGACTGAGAAAAGACACAATGAGTGACAGTTTGACTGGAAGAGAAGGCAGAGGATAGAGTGAGCTGCTGAGGTTTGCACACTTGCTAAAAACCTTTTGCGTTCCTTGCTGTGGATACTCTGAGTTCAGATGGCTCATATTTCCTCTCTCAGAACAGAATTACAGAACTAATCCCATAACATCACAGCATCTCCCAGCACTGTGGCCTTCAGGGGAAAATGAATCATGAGAGCTACCTGATGGTGCTTGGTGAAGGCTGATTAAACAGAGATAAGATACTGATTTATGGGGTGACACACTTGACACCAATTTCCAGTGAATAATCCTGTGATACTGCAAACAGTTGCTCACTGCAGATGAGGCAGGAACCTTACTAAATATACAGCTATGAGACAGCTGGCTTAAACACATTCTAACAAACCTGAAAGAGCTTTTATCAGGGTTTTGTTGCATTTCTAGGGCTTTTTTTTCCTAATGACTGGCACCAGTGTGAAATTCTGGGTCATGGCACATAACAGAGACTGATATTAAAAATACATTTTATTCCAACTTTCTCCATTTACAATTTATGGAACCAACTGTTTTTGTAATAAAAGATATGATTTGTTCCTAAAAATGTAGCTACTGCAGACACAGCTAACCACAGCAGCACCTTTATTCAAAGGGATGCTCTCACTGTAAAGTATCATATGCATATATTTGTGTATATAATTGCGGTTCATCCCTATCTTTAGTGGGGTTTTTAATTTCCACGTAGGCTGTCAGAGGGCACAAGTTACTGTATTTTTGATTATTTTTCATGACAACAGTATACTAACTAAACTTAAAGGCTAACCCTGCACACTAGAGATCAGTGGGTTTAAAATGAACCAAATGGCACACTAAAGCGAACCTTCTACTCACACTTATGACATTTGTGGAAACCAAGCAGGACTTATTTTTGTTATGCAGTGAACTTCACTAGCATCTAAATAATTGCTCTTAGTTTCCTCAGTCACGGTAGATAAAAACGGGAGCCTCCTTGTGACCAGGAAACATCAGTGGTTGCCTGGTGATTGCACTGAATTCCTTTGCATTCAGCGACTGACAGCAAATAGTTGCAGTGATCAAGTGGTTTCCCAGAGGTTGAGCATGTAACACCCTCAACCACTTCTGAACTCAAGGCACTTGGACAAGCTACTAGGTTGGACACAACCTGTGTCCAAATTCAATTTATAAATACAGACATATTGCCAACTAATGCAACTGCAATTAATGTGAGTCAGTCTGGGTGATTGATGAGCACAGCTCATCTGCAATGGGTCTCTCTGCAATAGGGGACTCGACTTAACAAGGCTGCCATCTGGTTGTACTCTGGTTACATTCCTATATATAAACAAGATTTCCAAGCATTTTGCACTTAAATCAATTACATCACTATTTATGGAGCAATTTCTGTTTCAGCTCTATGAGGTTCTTATTTGACTGACTGTATTTTAATGTAAATATCTGTATGTAAACAGCAATTGATTTGCAACAGCTTTGTGGTTTTTGCCTATTTATCACACTTAATCGTAGTATTAACTTCAACTGATTTGATCATAAACTGACAGTAGATTCTTACTGCTCCTTCATGCACCAAAGCTGCAAAGAACTGACTTTGACTGTCTACAGATCTGGTCCCCATCTTTAAAGCAAATATTTAAATGGCAACAAGACTCAAGTTCATTGCACACTGTCACAATAATTTTGGATGTGTTCTGGTTTCCAACCACTGTTTTCTTTAGCATTAACGATGCACTGCTGCTGATGCTCTATGCAGTAAGCAAAATGTAACTGAACTGAATAGCCATAGGTGGCAACATTGGTGACAATATCTCATCCAGCTTCAAATCAGAGCTGGACTAATGCCAATCTACTAATCCAGTATTTGGATGGATATTAGTCCAGTTCTGACTTGAGAAATACTACATCAGTAGATCCATAATTGACAACATGCTACATTAGGATGCTGAACATTATATATTATAAACATATCAAAAACACTAAACACCTGCCTAACAGACACTGGAATTATATTTTAGCCATCCACATTCGGAGTGAGCAGTAGGCATCTTTCTTGAGGACAAAGTACAATATTGCACCAGAAAGGCAACTCTTTAAAGCATATCCTACATTTAGCAAGACTCCCGCGAGACTCTTCTACAGGTGTCTTTTTAACCAGTGAATTTTCAATTATAAACTCTAAGACCTTTTTCAAGAATGGGGTCAGCGGAGCGGGAGGTGCTGGTTGAAAAATAAAGCGCCTTTATGTGTGTGGATTAGCTGTGAAGCCAAGTCAGATGCAGGAGCCTGACACACAGATTGACATTGAGACTGAGAAAAATCAGCTGAACTTCATGAGGGGGGCGGGGGCTGTGAGGACACCATCAAACACCGTTCTCTGGCTGCGCATAAACACAAAACGTGTCTCTGGTTCATGTCTGCATATCCACTCTGGCCTCGTGTCTGTGACCACAGCAGTGGTGTGGCGGTTGTCTCATGCAAAGCTTTATAGACATGGTGTGCTTTCTTCTGTGGGTTGTGGTTCCCTGCACACTGCTCGCTGAGCCTCAGTGCTGAGTTTTCTCAGTATTCTCCCACATGACATATACTGTAAATACATAGGTCTACACACACATGCGCACACACACAAAGCACACAGTTCCCAAGGTGTGCTGTGTTTGACTTAGAATAGTGCCAAGATGTAAACTGAACTGAGTTGAGGCTATGCACAAACCAAAGTTGTGAATGACATTCTCATGTTTGAACTATAATACTGCACTGTAGGACCTGATTAGTGATAATACGATTTATAGTGTTTAGTGTGGTTGCTAGAAACTGCAGCTTGAAACATTTGCAGTTCAAAGTGTCAACCAGAAAAACAAAGGCTTTAACAATGTGAGCTGCTGATCTTTTAAAGGAGATTTAGAATCTTTTGAAAGAAACTATTGTTTTAGTTGCTCCCTTTTCATTTCTGACATAGCAGACATAGTCCACGCTCAACTGATTACCTGATTTAGGAGCATCTATTTAACATATTTACATGACACATTTTTGAGGTGATGTCAGTCAGTAAAGGCACTTATACTCAAGTAGTTGCTAGATACTCTGAAAACCATACCTTTGGGTAACGCACTTTTGGGTTGAATACGATCCAAATAACATTTCAGAGATGGACAATGTCGAAGCGCAGGGTTCAGGTTAATATTGGAGAGAAAGACCTACAAGCTGGAAAAGGCTCGGCCACACCTTTGTATAAGCATAAACAATTTAAAAAAAATGGATAGACTTACTGCTTGAGAAAACATTAAACAGTAATAAACAAAGAAACAGTTACAGGCACTCCTCACTTTTATTATCAGTCAATCTTCCAGTTCCCTGAATCATAAACTCTTTCATCTATAAAATGATTCTCTCCTTTAGTCCATTATTCATTTCATAAAAAACACTAACACTAGTGAAAAGGTCCTTCTGCATTTTAAAGTTATGTGTTCTCATCAGAGTAAAAGAAAAGAATATTTCATCAATTTATCAGCCGTTTACCAACATAATTACAGTTTAATCAACTACATTGGGCAACTAAGCATCATCTAAAGCCCGAAGACTTCCAACTTACATTTATAGTCTCACTGGACACTTTGTTCCACACACCTGTTCAGCTGATTTTTAAATACAAAAATCAAATCAGCCAATCACATTTCTACAACTCACTGCATCTAGGAACACAAACATGGTCAAGACAACCT